CGTGAATAAGGGTGAATGCAAGTGACTGAACGTGAATGAGGGTGTATGAATGATCGTGGATGAGGCTAAACGAAGGTGAATAAGAGGAATGAATGAAAACAATGGGTGAACTAGGTATTATCAGCGGGATTGGGTATGGTCAGCGGTTTATTATCAAAAGGCTCGGAGCCATTCCTACAATTAATGGCTAGTTGTAGACAGAGAGTGCATGGCATTTTGTTTGACTTTGACGACACGCTTGTCCCAACTCTGGAAGCTAATCTGTATGCCTTCAATAAGGTAAAGGATAAGCTGCTTGAATACTTTGCTGCAAACGATGCTGAGAACGTTGCTTCCAAATACTAGACGCTAGTCACCAAGACACATCGTTGGCCGCCCGATTCTTTCCAAACATGGTTCTCATGAATGGCGTGTGAAATTATGGGAAAGTGCGCTTTCTAGTGAAGAAAATACTTCCTCTTACGACAACGCGAAACCTTCAGCAGCTGAAATGTATGAGTTATGGAGATCGGCACGTCTAGAGAAAGTGGTGTTTACTGACGAAATTACTTCGCTTTTACAAGAGCTCGCAAAAGACTACAAAGTCGCAATTGTTACAAATAGCGACTCGGTTATCCAGCGAGAAAAGCTAGCTGCGTGTGGAGCTGAGAAATTCTTCAAGACGATCGTGATAAGCGGTGATCAAGGTCATCCCAAACTCCATGCTTCTATTTTCCATACTGCCTGCTCACTTATCTCTGTTCGGCCCGAGAACTGTATCATTGTAGGAGACAGCTTGTCTCATGATGTACAGGGTGGTCAGAATGCAGGTTTCATGGCCACTGTTTGGATCAAACTTGAAGGAAGCAGCTGCAATGAAGGGGACCCACAACCTGATTTTGTTGTAGCTTCTGTTTTGAATTTGCCCGAGATACTGGATGAATTAAATTCTTAGTCCATAGCTAGTCTGTAAATGGATTAAAATGGACGATCTTGAGTTGCAGATTGCTAGATGCTGCTATTTTGTATTATAATCTGATTCTTCCAATAGTAAGCCTGATCATTTTCAGATTTTCAAACAAGGTTCTTGGGATCATCACAAGTCATGGAGTTTACCATTCATTATGCCCATTCAGTTCCTAAACACCACTAATATTAGTGGGCGGAGGGAGGCACTGTAAGACAAAGAGGAAATTTCCTTCCCTAAGAACGCAACATAATGACCCAAGAAAAGAAAATTAACTTTTTTTGAGAATCCATCACAGAGATTTCAATGACATTGTTACCAGTGGGGAAGGGGTGGGCAGTGTCTGATCTAGGATTTCACTTAAGGGGGACATTCTGTCCCATTCAACAAAAAATTTAATTTCTAGGGGACATTCCAGTTTTTTGGGGGACACACTGTTTTTTGTATCGCAACCACTTGAATTTTTCCAATCAGGTAGATTGAAAGTTTCTCCTTGCTGCTTTGGCTTTTGGTTCGACAAAAGGTTCGCATTCATCAGCAG